AACAAGTTGTGTAGTAGACATCAAGCTCTTTTCTAGCGCCGTTGCCGGGGAGGTGAGTGCTTGAAGGTATATCTTTAGATCTTGCAATTGAATCTTTTAGTTTCTTGTTTATCACTAGTTTGGTTTATAAAAATAAAACTGCAAAGAAAATGGAATTGAGGTGGCCTCATATTATTCATCTTTATGACCACTCAAAGTAGTTTGTCGGGGTGAATATTGGCCACATTGTGGTGCCGCTCAGGACAAGGTGCTCCTGCATAGGGTGTTCGTGCACAACGATTTCCTTGCCGCGCCTGCGGCTGCAACTCCGACTCCGGGTCGGAGTCACTGATCGCGAGCCGCTGTCATAGTCATCAGCCTTCCTAGTGGCCGTGCGAGCTGCCACCGCAGCTTCAATGGTTGTCGGGGTGCCCTTTGGGGAGGTCGAGCCGGCAATGGTCGCCAAGGAATGACGTGCCTCTCATACCACTTGCTGGAACCGAAGACACCTGCAAATGGCCAGTGGGAGACAAAGCTAAGGTGTTTTGTGTTGCATACTGCGTTGCGGCCTTTCTCTATCTCATTCCTCTTATTTGTACTGAACTTATAAAGGGAAGGATCAACCACGCACGCGAGCTCACCGGTGGTGCCATCCCACGACACTCGCCATGCGGGTGATGCATGCGTGTCGTGAGCTGCTATGCATGCTATCCCATGCATTACTAACGGCCGCACCAAGCTACTCCCTCCGTCCCAAAATATAAGAACGTTTTTTACACTAGTGAGTGTCGCGGGCGCCCGAGCGCCCGTTGGTGGAATCAAGCGCTTGTGCAAATATGGAAGGAGCAGCCAGCGTGCCCTGTACAATCCATCAGAAAAGGAATATTGTCCATATGTACATTTATTTGGGGGTTTAAAAAGTTTAAAACACTGTAACTTTTGATTTAAGCGTCAAAATCCAGTTTCGCTTTCACACTTGTGTTTCTCGCGACGATCTCATATCGATAGGTTTCATTAAACTTTTTTTTGAGGCAACTTTGGGTACGATGGAGGCAACTTTAGTGTTATAGGAAAGCAACTTCATTTTTCTGCCTTGTAGGTGTGCCTATAAGGTTGTTTTTTTTTAAAAAAAAATATGACAAAACCAAACAAAACATAAGGCACCTTTAGTGCTACATATAAGCAACTTCATTGCACTATGTGTATCAATAAATTTTGCTAACATTATGTTTGCTCAGTTACCTACCGTGGATGGTCAGTTCCCTACCATTGATGCCCAATTGCCAACAATACTATGAAAATCGGTCCACTATTAATGCACAGTTGCCTACTATTGGTAATTAGTTGTCTATCATTGCTGCTCAGTTTTCTAACTTTCCAAATTAATTGCCTAGAATATTATGAAGTTGTTTATCACAAGACAAACTCATCTGTACTCTCAGTCTAACTTGGTATCTAGACAAAGGAAATGATATAGGAAAAAGTCTAAGTTCTCCATTGATGAGGTTAATCGAGGCAAAACAAGGACAATGGCTTGGAGATTCTTATGCACTCGAGTATCACAAAAACTGCTAACCAATTTTGGGGTGTTTTTGTGCAACTCTATGCATTCGACAAGTAACTCATGTGTTTTTTCCATTATTATATCTGAAGATTTCAATGATTTTCGCGGGCAACTAGTGCAAAAATTATGAACAACTTGCGTATGTTTGTGGGCAACTGTCTGATCCACCCCCATATAAAAAATTCTCATCACCCTAGATGCAACTTCTCATATGCCCCCACTTATGCAACTAGTCAATACCAATGACCTGGATAGCCAACATTCACATGCTCAGTAGTATTGCAGGGAGACTCCCCTAGAAAAGGAATGCACAAGGCAACCATCCAACCCAATATAGTTTTAAAATTTAGAATCATGATAGACAACTTAGATCCCACAAAAACTTTTCAAGATTGTAAGCAAATTAGGTCCCTTGATGGACAACTTAGGTCTCATCTTCCCTCACTATGCAACTGGTCCTCACATTTTGAGCAACTCCTGATAGTATGAGCAACTCATTCCCATCTTATGAGCAACTCCTGTATTCGTCAACATCTCGACCCCACTCCTCTCCAACCCCGCTCATCACATGCGTGATAGTTGAAAAAACCATGAAAGAACTCTAGCATTACTACTTTAGGCACAAAAGTAGTGAAACGTCATATCATAAAAAAGAGTAAAAAATGGCATCACAAAAAGACACATAGGGTTATCTAACTGACACAATTTTTGCAGGTAACTTCGTGCGAAAAATATGATCAACTTACATAGATTTGTGGGCAAACTGTCAGATATGCCCCCTATGCAACTTCTGATCCCCCTAGCAACTCGATGTCACACTATGTGCAACTCCTACTCATCTTTTGTGTATGCAACTATACATATCTGCATATAGAAATTGTTCTTGCAAACTCTCAGCAACTTCCCCTTAGTAGAAATCCACACAATTGTTCTATCAAAGATCCAAAGCAACTATTCCTAGCAAAAAAATCCAAAAAATTATCCTAGCAAATCCTAGCAATTGTATTACCGAACACAATGCAAAATTGTTTCTAGCAAAACCAAGCATATGTAGTAGGAAACCACAATGCAAAACTGAGCAACTCTCCTACAAAACCAAGCAACTGTCCTATCCAAACCAAGTAACTGCATTACTAAAAAACAACTATGGGAAAATTGTCCTAGCAAAACCAAGCAAACTGTCCCTAGCATTACTACTTGGATTGTCTACTTCAGGCAGAAAAAACGTATGACCAAATAGCCTTTGTGTACAACTATACCCGCACGCCCTCCCAATGCAACTTATCTATTCTAGCAAAAATCCAAAACAACTCAATTTAAAGAAAACAGAAAATGAAAAACTGTTCTAGATAAAACCAAGCAACTGCATTAAAAAAACAAATGCAAAAACCTGTTCAAAATAAATCCGAGCAACTGCCTAACAATGATGCCCTCGCTAATTAGTTGGCTAATATACTAGGAGAAGTTGTGTGTGGCGTAGCTCATATTGCCTATACTCTGAAACATAGTGTTAGCATACTTGATAGTATGGTAGACAACTTATATGTCAATTTAGCGAACATGATAGTCATGGGAGGCAACTTATAAGGACTTCTCGTTGATAGGCAATCATAGTAGGCAAACTAAGAAGAAGTTGTTTTCCTATAGTACTAAAGTTGCCTCATCAGCACTCAAAGTTGCTCTAAAAATAAAGTTCGCCAAAACATACCCATGTGGGATCTATTTTTGAAGAACTCGGCAAGAGAAACTCAACGGTGGAAATGAATCTAAATTCCAATACTCAAACCAAAAGTTATGGCTTTTTAAATTTTATAAAACCTAAATAAATGCACGTACTTTTTCTTTCTTGATTGATTTATACAAAGTAGAGAGCATTCAAAGAGATGAAGACCAGATACTTTCCCTTTTAGTGTAGTGATGACAAGGGATGCTAATTATCTTTTATGGTAGGCCTACACGGATGCACTGCGTGCCATGTTAGTTTTTTGGCGCATATAACGTGCGCTCAGAAAGCTCAATTAGTGCAGCTGCACTAGTAAGCATTTGAGTTTATATTATGAGATGAAGGAAGTACTAAGAGCATGTCCAACACGCGCCGAACGCGCCACGCACAAAAAACTGGTTTGCCGCGCGCCCATCGCCTGTTTGGCGCGGCGCGCAGCGCTGGCTCCAGCAGCTGCGCTAAAATGCAGCGCGCGCACGCCGCTCCAGCAGCGCGTAAAAAATGCAGCGCGTATACAACTTTTTTTTTATTTTAGATAAATCGAAAGCATAGATAAATATAAACTAGATAGATTGCATAAATAAAAAATGATACAAAGGTATTTTACATCGGTGCAACTAGATAGATAGTTCGAAAGCATTGATAAAACTACGGCACAACTAGATAGAAACTACTCCAAGTCGCTATCATCATCACCATCATCATCCTCGTCGGTCTTGTCCGAGGTATCGAGCCATATGTCCAACCAACGATCATCGTTTTCTGTGAAAAACGACCTCCCACCTGCTGCAACGATATCCGACTGCGCATTCGCCAATGCCTTCCGCCGACGCCTGTCCAACCGCGACTCGCGGCGCCTTCGCGTGTCCTCCTCGCGGCCCCTTGCCCAGTAGACTTGCTCGTAGGCGACGTCCTCCTGGTGGCGCCGACGCCACTCCCCCATGACCCGCTCGTCCTCCTGGGCGACGAGGAGGCGGCGCTGCCACTCAGCGTGCTCCGCATGGTCTTCTGCCGTGTTAAGACGAGGTGGCGGGGCGACGTCCAGCGCCTGCTGAAGCGTGTAGACGTCCTGGAAATTCATCTGCCCACGCGGCCTGCCTAGGCGCGACGCCGCCGCGTCGTACACGCGGGCGGCCTCGCGCATCGTACCGTAGGTGCCGAGGCCGAGCCGGAGATCGCCGGAGCGTATCTCGGAGTAGTACCCACCGTTGGGGCGCAGGCGGACGCCGTGGAAGCCCGACGCTCCTCGGCGGCGCGGCGGCATGGTGGCGCGGCGGTGACGGGGCGCTAGAGTGGTGGAGGCGCGCGTGGCAGAGAAAGAGGAAGAGGAGTCGTGGAAAAGGCGCGTGGCAGAGGAAGAGGAAGAGGAGTCGTGGAAAAGGCACGTGGCAGAGGAAGAGGAAGAGGAGTCGTGGAAAAGGCGCGTGGCGAGCACCGCATTTTATAGGCGCACCGAAAGCGGTGCGCCAAAAATAACGCGCGAACTATCACCTTTTCGCGCGGGCGCGTTTCCCGCCATCGCTGGAGCACGGTAAAATGTTTCCCGCGCGCTAAAAGCTGGGTTTACCGCGCGCGGTTGGAGATGCTCTAACTACTAGCTGAAAAACTACTGGGCCACATTCAGTGTACATGCACACGTCGACATGGCCATTTATTTTGCTAACTGAAAAGAAAACTAAGCTAGCTACTAAACCAAGCTAGGAAATACAAGTTCAACAAGTGGTGCCATCATCCCTAATATTCCTCGGTGGAAGAGCAAAATCTTGCATTCGTGTAAACCTTCCCTGGCCGGCAGAAGTACCCCTGCTCTGGCGCACAGTGCAAGTCGTCAGAGCAGACACATAGTCCTTCAATGGCGCAACGCTTCTTAATGATGTTGGGGGTCCCGTTGACGCCGAGCACTTGATCGGTCCACTCGCTGGAGAAGAGCCCGTCGGGGTAGTACATATTCTTTACCTTAAGGAACTTATTGGCTTTTGGGTACCTTGCGATGACACCATCGAAGGCGAAGTTGCGGTTCTTACCCCAGTGCGGCAGGCCGCCGTACTTACCCAATGCCATCTGCTCAATCTCGTCCACCACGTCGGCGTGGGCGCGCGGCATGCCGTCGGTGTGGCTGCGGTAGAAGATGATGTCAACGTCAACAGAGTCCTCGGGCTTGCCGAGGTACGCCGGAGGACGCCTTGACGTAGCGGAGGACAACACCCGTACGAAGGAGGGCACAAAACGCGGCCGGTTTGAGGTCCCGGAGCCGTTGCATGTCGGCGACGAACGCCGACACCTTAGAGAGTGGGACGCTGAAGCCGGAGTTGTACAGGAAGGTGCCTCGGATGCGAGAGGAGGCCATCCTCTGGGCCATCGATGCATGATCCGGACGCCTGGATGCGATGCTGGTACCCCACAATCGGGTACCCTGTGAAGGAGACGACGTCATTCGTGAAGCCCAAGGCCTGCAGCTGTCTCGTGGCCCCCTCCTGCTCTGCCGCGCACCGGGCGATGTCAGTGCCGTTCTCCTGCAGCCGCTCCTCTGCGGCTCTTGCGCGGACAAGCAGGGCTGTGGGGTTGGAACGAAAAAGGGCCAGATCGCTGAGCCCATTCCCGGGTGTCGCGACGTCGACGCGGTCGTCCTGGCGGTAGATGACGCTGCCGTGCTGCGGCAGCCATATCATGTCGGCGAACTCGTGAAGACGGCCCCACTCGGCCACCCGTGCCGTGAAGTCCGAGTCGTTGCGCCTCAGGAACGTCACTGACCGCTTGAACAGCGGCTGCAGGGCCAGAGTCACCTGGGAGACAACGCCGAGGACCCCCAAGGGAGACCTTGGCGGCGTCCAGGTCCGGGTGATCGGCGCCGAGCTCCCTCACCATGGCGAACCCGTGACACGCCGGCGCCGGCGTCACGATCCTCAGACCGACCACGTACTCGTGCACGGCGCCTCCCTTGCCCCACAGCCCGCTCCCATGCGCGCCCGTCGCGAGGAGCCCGCCGATGGTTAGGCCGTACCAGTTCGGCGAGTGCGGCAGTGACAGCCCCGCTGCGGCAGCGGCCTGGATCAGGTCCCGGAGTACCATGCCGCTCTCCACCGTGATGAGCTGCCTCTCGGCGTCGACACGAACCGTCCGGTTCAGCCGTGAGGTGCTTATGATGGTGCCCTGGCTGCCGCCGGGGCACGCCAGCTTGGGGCCGCTGTGTGAGTGCTTGGTGGCCACCTTCATCTTGCGTTTGGCGGACGCCGCGGCCGCCACGGCCGCGACCAGCTCCTGCTCGGTGCTCGGGTAGACAACGTTGGCCGCGTGGCAGATGATGCGGTCCGTGAAGGAGCCGTACGTGTTGGTGACCGTGCAGTTGGACGTGCCATGCGTGCAGGTCACCGGGTCCGGTGGAGGGCTGCAGCCGGCGAGCTGGAGCAGGATCCCTACGAGGAGAAGAGCAGCCAAGCTCCCCATTGCTCGTGAGTGTGGATGCTCTCCTTGCGACATCGCTGACTTCTCGAGTGAATGAATGAAGGCCTACACTAAAGCTTGCTTGTACTATCCACTACAGATATATACAGGCTCGGTATATATACGGTTAGACACATCGGGGTGCACAAAAATAAAAAATTACAACCAGTTGCACACAAAACGAACTTAAATCCTGTTTTACTAACCTCCATGTGGTTTCTCAATCACGCATTTCATGATGAAATTGAATGAATTGTACAAACGTTGATGCTGCTCCTCCATGCTCAAGCATAACATTTTCACCCTGAAACTGAAACCCTTGATCGTAGATACGTTCCGGGCGCTCATTCTCTATGGTCATATTGTGCATGATCACACAAGCAGTCATCACCTCCCACAACTTCTTGGTGCTTCAAGTTCTAGCGCGATACCGAACGATGCCCCATCGAGATTGCATAACACCAAAGGCACGCTCGACATCCTTCCTCGCACCCTTTTGTTCTTGGGAAAATCTTTTCCTCTCTTCTCCGACAGGGTTAGAAATTGTCTTCACAATAGTGGTCCACTGAGGATAGATACCGTCGCCTAGGTAGTATCCTTTGTCGTAGTTGTGGCCGTTGATGGTAACATTCACCGGCGGGATGTTGCCTTCGGCAAGCCTTGCAAACACCAGCGAGCCTTGAAGCACGTTGATATCATTGTGTGATCCGGCCATGCCGAAGAAAGGGTGCCAGATCCAGAGATCTTGTGAGGCCACAGCCTCAAGTATGATAGTGCAAGCACTGAGTTGACCCTTATACTGCCCTTGCCAAGCAGAAGGGCGGTTTTCCCACTCTCAGTGCATGCAGTCTATGCTGCCAAGCATCTTTGGGAAGCCCCTGCTGGAATTCATCGCCAAGAAGCGGGTTGTATCTTGATCAGTCGGCTCTCTCAAGTACTCGGGGCCAAACAGAGCAATCACAGCCTTGCAGAACCTGTACATAGACTCTAGGCATGTAGATTCGCTCATACAGATGTACTCATCAATGAGATCACCGGGCACTCCGCATGCAAGCATCCGGATGCCTGCAGTGCATTTTTGCTAAGATGAGAAGCCAATCTTTCCCAGGGCATCGTCTTTACACTCTAAATAGTTATCGTATCCGACCACCCCCCTCTCTAATATGGTTGAAAAGATGCCTAACCATACCAAAAAGCCGTCGAAATTTCTGATGTTTGAACAGCGGGTTGGTTGTGTCAAAGTAGTAATTCAAAAGAAGGAAATGGCCGCTCTCTCGATTGTGATTCAACGTTGGAATGTGCCCCAGGATCGAGCCCCGGAACAACAGCCGTTGCCTATTAAGGTGGTCATGGACCAACACGACAACCAACATCTCCCAATCATCGGACGAGGAATCGTCGGAGTCGCACAGTAAATTGTGGAAAAAGAACTCATCGGCGGAGTCCGTTTTATACCTTGGCAAACTGTCGAACAGCTTGTGGGTGTCGACGAAGAAACTAGCTGGCGAAGAGATGCGGGCCTCCCTTGGACCAGGTGGCTGGCCTGGCAGCGTCCGATGAGCGTGCTGGCGTCAGGACAATGGGCGGTGTCGGACGAAGGAGCTTGCCGGTGCGGGGGGAGGCGGCTTCCTGCTCGCGGCGACGTCGGAGTGTGGGATGGAAGCTTCGGTGCCCCGGCGCCGTGGGATGTGGCGGTGTTGGGGGAGGTGTGTCGGCACGGGCTGCTGGCAGAGGCCAAAATGGGCGGCGACAGCGACGGGGCGGGACGGACGAGGGTTTGTTGTTCAATGTGCCACCGAGTAGCGGGCTAGAAGGAGGAGTAGGGGCGCGTCGCGCGCGTCCGTTTTGTGTCCGTGCCGATGCAAATCAGGCTCAAATTGGGCCGGGAATGGGTCGTGAGCGGACGAAAAGCGGACGCGCGTTGGGTCAACTTTTTTGTCCACACCGATCCGAACAAACGCACGCGGACAAAATGGATTGGTACGTTGGAGTTGCTCTAACTTCACCATATATACACGGCCATGAAGGAAGCGGTCATCACAAGCTCATGCACGAAACCCACATCAGCTCATGTCAAAGTCAAATAATCGAGCAGACAAGTGAACGATGTACATCTCTGATTTCGACGATCAGCTTTAGAGAAATATGCAGGATTTGGTCGACCGAGCACTCCATCACTCTTCACCTGCCATCGTCGCCGTGGAGGCTCGCTCCACGAACGCTTCGACTCCAAAAACGAATGGCAAAGCTCGCAAAACTCATCAGACATCCGGACAAAGTTGACCATCGAACTATGGAAGACCACCCCATGATCTAGTTCCGCTCGACGCTGCCATCATTGCCAAACAAATTGCCATCCAAATGAGGAAGCCCCGCCCCGGCACCAACGCAATATGTCCCTTCAGCCAATTTGAGCTAGCTAATGATACTCCAAAGGGGGAGGGAGCAAGATGCAAGAGAACCTCATCATTCAATCCAGGGAGACCCGGATCCATGGTTTCCACTAGAGCTTTGACCGTGAGGGGGAGAGAAAATCACCTCAGAGACGCCTCCAGGAAGGTTACAATGCTCACATGCGTTGTGTCGTCTCACTTCCGCCCTATAGTCTTGCACCATCAACGGGTTTGTGTAACACACCCGGTCTTTGTAGGGGAACATGTTGCGCAACAAAAAGTTTACTATGCATGAACATGCCTAGCGTCACTATAGAGGTACAAGTAACAATCATGTCAGCAACAATCCAATCAATCGAAGTAAATGAAGAAGAGTTGGTGATGCACGCTGATTCCTGCAGCTAGGTTATACTTCCCATCTGCAAGAGTTTCTCCGGGATGATTCGTCGATCTAGTGTCGAAGTGTACGACATGTTTGAGGTATCCACGCTTTCCGATCCGGAGGTTCTCCAGTGCTCCATGGACTATCACGAAGAACTATAGAAAACCTAGAGGGAGAGGAAACTTATCGGTATCCGATCTAGAATGAATCTAGACCGAGAAAGAGAGAGGGGTGGCTCAGGGCAAAGGCGTGCAACCTTTGAGCTTGGTGTGTCCCTATAGGG